AGTCCCTCAACTTATAGAAAATAATTAAAAAGGTCCACAAGTCTCAAAAATGGCATCATGAGGCGGTGTCACTCTCTGTCCAAAATTAGGATTTTTTGTTCAATTTTTCAGCCAAGTCCCTCAACTTTGATTTTGTACAACTTGGTCCTTGAATTTTGACTTTCATTTCGATTTTGTCCTCCATAAATTGCATCATAAATCCTCTATTTTCTGCCTTTTGCATTTTAGTCCACATCTTCACCATTTTGTACACTTTTAGTCCATTTCTTCTCATTTTCGCTCCGTTCTTCGTGAATTCGGGTACAAAGCCTACAAACATACAAAATTACACAATTATGCGTAGAAATCAACTCAATTTCGATTCTAATTAAATGTAAAAAAAAATGCTAAATAAGTGTGTAAAAACACACTTATCAGTCATACCTAATCAAAAGAGAATTCTTGGACATCCTATCGAGAATGGGAAAAAGTCAACTTGTAAAAGGTCACACGTTGAGAAATATGGATGGTACGGTGGATGTGGTCACTATCGTAGAACTTGAAACAACATGGTGCCACTAAACCATAAGCGGTGAAAATTGAATGAAAAGAAACAACGAAAGGTGGTCGCATAGTACAATAATTTGTATAATAGCATCGTGATACTATTTTTGCTTATTATTTTTTGAGTTATTCAGATTTTTGTTTATATATTGGATTTATTGCATTGAAATAATATTGGAATAAGATTTATTGTTGGTCAAAAACTGTGACTTGATCTTCTGACAAAAAAAGTGGGCAGTGTTTAACAACAATCTTATTTGATAAAATGCATGTATGATTGTGATCTATTATAACTAAATTGTTTGTGACCTGGTATGTGTGAAACCGTGATTGTAAACTTTCATCGCGTTCGTTTAAACTGTGAATTCAATGTAATATTGTGTGACTATAAATTTTATAAGATTGTTATCCTCTCTAACTTTTGTGGGTATATTGCGACGACATCTTATGATTCTGATTGATTGTGACCTAACTTATAGCATTAAAATAGAAAAATATCCGTGCACATGTACATATCAACCAATACTCATCCACATAAATATCCACGTAAAGATCCTACATAAAACTTTAAAAAATCTAGATTCTTAATTGTACCCACACATTTTTTCCAGAGAAGTAGAAGGGATAGATGCAGGTGATTCTTAATTGTACAAGTTCTTGACAACCTTTGTTCTTCAAGAGTCGAAGACATTATTTTTCTGTTTGATGAAATTCACATGTAGAAGTTGCATTTCGACATGATGTTTTTATTTTCATTTGTGGTGCTATCTGGATTCAATAATAGGAGTTGAACAAGATCAAGATCGTGTGTTGACGCAGAACGGAAGTAAAAGATTTACCAGCGTAAATCTTGAAAATAAGAAAACTGAAATTCTCCAAGAACGAAACTTGTATGCAATCAAAAAAAATGCAGAAAACGTTCAAAAAGCCTTTAAATAAGCGTTACAAGAAACCCTAAAAACATAGAATAGTAAAACGGTCCAAAAATAGCGAAAATTCAAAACGAAAAATACGGAAATTAATTATTCAGAGGCCTAAACGAAGGAATTTGGCTAAAATCCAGAGATCTAGGGTCTTTGCCCCGAGTCCAATTTTTCGGGCCGTTTCCAATCAACCAGTCAAATTTCAGCCCATTCCGACACTGTCGCGACAAATGCCAAAATTGCCCCTGACGCAATCTTTTTTTGTCACTTTTCTGTCCAGCATTTTTTCAAACTCCAAAACTAGTTGTCCTACATCATGTGTTTTCTTCAATTCCTCAACAAATCAAGAGAACCAAAACGGGGAAAATTATAGTTGATTTTGACTTTTGTTTTAAGTTTTATAATTAGGGTTCTTTGAAGTGGTCAAGAAATAACTGTAATACATAAAAATATGAGATGATTATATCCTTCTTCTATAGTGAATTATTTATCCATAGATGTTTCCCTTATGGGTATATCACGTAACATCGTGTGTTCTGCTTGACTTAATCCTTTTTTATTGTGATACATTATTATTATGTTAGGAAAATATGGAATTCTATAGGCTACGAAATAATTAGTACACGCCGATGAGCTATTAGAGTATACGTGAACCGTATGATTAATTAATATTGAACGGAAGTCGGTTAATCAGTAGTCGAGTAGCGTCAGATAGTTAGAACCAATTCCGTTAAACTATCAATCGATAATTAATTAACTTGTAAATACATAGATTCTACCCTTGCACTTTACATGATGAAGCTTCGTCAAAACCCGCCACAAGAAGATCCATATGATTGGAGCACATGGAGCTTTCGAAGCTGCGTTCCACCATTCTGCTTGGCCTATCTCATTCGATCCATCCGTATTCTCCTCGGTCCTAACTAAGCTTCATTATCAACTTTTGACTGAACAATTTTCATTAGCTTCGAAGTGCCAAATAATTCTATCAAGTAAGAATCTATGTATGATCAACTGGGCCGAAAGTTGTTCACATCTTTTCAACATCCCAAGCTCCTACAGCACCGCCCCTTCATCTTTTGTAACGGGTTGAAAGAAGCCGAGTTTGGGGAGCCACGAGTAAGTGAAAACTTGAAAAGAGCGTCGACGTCTCAATCCTATTCAGGAGCGGACATAGAGGGGGTCCTGGGGTCATTTAAGTCAAAGTTAATAGTTAATTTTAATAACATATTTTATTAGATTCACGATTTTTCAACTTTTATCAAAATCTATTTAAAATTTGATTTTAATCATCATCAAACAGGAACAAAATCAAAATAGATTGGAACTTTTTCTCCTCTCTCTCGCTTCTTTCCCTCATGCCTTTTATGAAAACCTCAACCTTCTAAATTTTCAAAATCTATCTATAATTTCTCCAAAAAATCACCACATCAACTACAAATCTTTCATTCTCAATCAAATTTTCAACTAATTTGAACCTAAATTTGTATTTTCTCCTATCAAATGGTGTATATAGAACGGGGTTGGAACTATTATATCCAATTTGACTTATATTTAACGAATTATATTTATTTGTGTTGATTATTAATATTGAATATTGATTATATATTTTTCCTTCTGAAATTGATTGTTTGTATCAAGATGCGTTTTCTCGTGATGAGTAAAATATTAATGAATGAATATTTTTTAAACGTAAATTTGTGTTTTCTGGGATCAAACATAAATCATTCAAGAATCAAGAACAAAATATTCGATCTATACAAGATTTAATTGTGCCCCCTAACTCAAAATGTCTATGTCCGTCACCGGTCCCCTTTCCAACAACTCCCGTCCACATGTGATACTTCTCCAATTATTCCCCTGCAAAACACAAGTAGTGAGCAAGTTCCCATTTTGCAGTAACCGCCATGCTTGTTCCGGTTACCACTTTCTTTATGCAGAGATATGCAGGCAGTTAATAGCAGATTCTGGTGGAGAGGGAATATGCCGTGTCGGAAAATTCATTGGAAGAGCTGAAAATCTAGTTTGCCGAACAAAGAGGGATGTTGGACTGGGATTTTGAGACTTGACATCATTCAACATAAAATACAATGGGGAGTGATTATTTCATTTTGGAACTTCTGCATAAGAAATAATATCTTGAACAGCAGCACAAGGTTCACCCTTCATAATGGGTGTTACAAATGGCAAATGAAATTTCACGTAATCACCTGTTTTCACATGCAAAACATATGAATAACAAGGCATCGTATTCCTGTACATGTTAAACTTCACATATGCTTATACCTTTCATCTAGTGGAGACTTCATAGTAGACATTGCTTGGTCCTCGAAACATGAAAAAATCATCATATGCAGTTTCTAAATCCTCAAAACGCCTAGAGGACGTAAGTCCTCTCCAAGTTCTTCCAATGGAATTAAGATCGAGTGAAATTTAAATCTCTCATAGGAGTCTTGGGAAAACGTGTCATATGAATCAAGTGGAAAGTTAGCCGTCACTTGTCAATGTGAAGGCAAGAAGAACAATACTAAGTGTAAAGAAAATTGTAGCAGCAGAAAACAACCACATAACCCGGCTTTTGGGACTCTGGCTCACTTGACCGCTCAACTCCACCTCTTCCAGAAGTTCCCGCACTTGTTCCATGTCAGAGTCTTTTGCAGCTTGCACTAGTCGTTTTTCAATTTTGTCGAGTTTTTTCAGCCTCCTGTCTCTGGATGCATATTTGATCGGCCAGAATAGACCCGTCATTTTCCATAGAAAGATGCCCATGTAAATGGCTACAAGACAATCCACACTATAATGGTGTCGTTCTCTAATTTCTCGTTGGGCACTATGCAGTACAAGTATCCAGATAAGAGCTGAGCTAAAACCTCCGTAAGCTTCCTGCATTGTTTATCAAAGGAGAAGAGTCAAATGAATCACAGATAAATTACCAAAACTTCAAGGAGTTTCTACTACATGATTAGAGAACATTTTTGTCATGTTATTAGGAAGAACTGGATATTAAAGTGTATTAAGAAGGAAAAATAAGCAAAAATCATGTTCATTATGCTATCCAATCCTATCCAACACTGCGTGTGTTTGATACATACCATCCATGCCATAGCCGTCAATACTGCAACAAGCATGTGGCCACTGTATAGGAGATCATTGCACCCGCCCCCCGCTTTTTTTAGTAGATGGTACCACGGAGATGATCCTTCAGAAGCTGTAGGTCGTAGGAAATTAGCAAGAAAGCTCATCGAACCCCAATCTGGTTGGAAGTCAACATTGTACTCCCCTGGATCAGCTGAAAGAGAACGAAGAAACTTGTAAACAACAAAATGTTCTCAGTTAGTCCACCTAAACTCCTAAGCTTGTCTCTCCCAATAGGCCAGTAAAGGAAGAAAAGAACCCAGTGAGGAAGTCCCAGAAAGAGTGGTGGATAAAAGGTATTAAAAACTAAAGAATAGTGAAACTTAACAGAAGAAAAGAAAAGAAATGCAACTAAGGAAATACCGTATGCAATATCGTAACGAATGATTTGGCGTATAGCATTAGAATCTGTAGCATATGGAACATAATATTTCTGAGCCCAAGGATGAGGGTATGGAGGGACTTGGAACCGAGCTGATGCACACCAGGGACGTGGTGACGGAAAAATTGTAGACACAAAAGCTATGGCCCGAAGAAGCCGTCCAATACCCATTGTGAACATGTATCTTGCACCCAGCCCCAGACCAGGAGCTTCAACCGAGTTAAATAATACAGAGAAGCCAAGCATTATAAACAACATCAGGAAATGGTGCAACCCGATAATACGAGATCTCAGTATATTGACCACAGTTTGAGGCAGTTTCTCATTCAATCCCAGCAGCAACCACTGGCCAACATCAGGAAGAGGCGGTTGAGCACTATCAAACATTAGCAAGTGCATTATACATCCAGTGACCAAAGTTTTTGTTGGTAACGAAGGTTTAGAAAAGTGATGATAATTACGACATTTTGTCAAAAAAAGGTTTTCTAGATCTTAGTTTATATGAACATTGATGATATTTGTAGATCATCTTTCACACAAACTGTCCTCAAGAACTTGAAATCTAGAAAATAATGTGTTAATAAATCTCAAAGTTAACGTAATTGAAACCTTCAAAATTCAAAGATTAACTAAGCATGCATTGATGCCCTTGATAGGTCCTTTCAAGTTAGTGCCTTCTCACTGTGTTAGAATTGACTGTCCAATAATTATCTCACTTCTTTTCTTGGTACCCTAGGTTTTTTTGTTGAACCACACAGCTTTATTAATATTCTAAAGTAATGCAACAATTTAGAAAGATGGGAAGCACAGCAATTTAGGTCAAGTTTTTTTAACAATCATTCATCTTTTTTTGAATACATCTAAACATATATATAGAGCATTCATCCTAAAATAGAAAAACCCAAAAATGCTCTCTTCTTTTCAGCTCAAGATCTTGACATAATTAGGAAATTCTTGTTCGCAATCACGATTCTGTATAAGGTCACTTAGAATTCTACAAATCCTGTGATCGATAAAGTAAATTTACTACAATTGAACATAGAAGCAGAAAAGAGGAAATGTAGATCTACACCTTATTAAACCAAACCCAGGTCAATAACTATACGGATTCAATTTAGAAAATCCCATTAGAGATTACATTACCAAAATTGAACATAACATGAGCAAATGTATATTTACAAAAATCCAGTTCATATTCACACTTAATTAAGCCAAACCCAGATAAGTAATAATACATTTTCAATCTCAGACTCAATTTATAAAATCCCATAACTAATATATGCAGATTTATAAAATCCCAGTTCAAAGAGCGAAAAATTAAGTCCAACCCCGATCCTTAATCATCCATATTCAATCTCAGATTTAGGGCTTGTTTGAGCCCCCTTTTTTTTGTAAAAAAAATCATTTTGCAATGGTGTTGGAACGCAGAATGTGCGGTTAAAAAAGGAAAAAATTTGTGTTTGCATGTAATATTATTTTATTAAAGAATGTGTGATTACAATGAGTCATTGCATTTTGATGGATTCATACTTGTGCCAGTCGAGACCAAGTACAGCCGTGACTGACCGAACAGAAATGGCTTCGAAGAGGAGAGCAGAGAGCATGAAGAGCATGGAGAAGATGAAGGGAAGAGCTGAGCGGAGCTCCAAGGACCAGTGCCTGTAGAACGGGACGCGAACAATGGCGGCAATGGCGAGGGCGGTCCAGAGAGCGGGCTGCAATTGCTCGTGCCACGCCGGTGAGAGGTGGCGGAGGTAGTCTATGCTCACATACGCGATAGCCGCCAGGCCCAGGCCGCCACCTCCGCGGTGGCGTCGCCTTGAACTTGACGGTGGATGCATTTTTATGGTAGTTGGAATGATGCAAGTCCGGGATCGGTGGCTCGTAAAGGAAAGTGTAGCTCTGAAAGTGCCAAATAAGAATTACTATTTTTATTATTTTTAATTTTTTTGTACTTTTGAGCATTATTACTCAGAATAATGCTAAGTGTACACAATTTTTTACACAATTTTTTACACTTCTCTCACATAGAAGGGGGCCCACACATAATAAAATAATCGTGGACCCCCTCCATGTGAGAGAGGTGTAAAAGATTGTGTAAAAGTGTGTGTGTACATGTAGCATTACCCTATTACTCATGTATGACACAAGTTCTCTACAAATACATTCTTTAAAAACTCATTTTCAACCACACATTTTACAATAAAATAAGGGTGCATTTGATTGCAATGGTAGAAAATTGGTGGAAAAAAAATGCTTTACAGGGAAAGAATTTGTCTAGAAAATGTTTTGTAGGGAAAATGATTTCAAGTGTGTTTGATTGATATAATTTTCCACCCGAAAATTTTTTAAATTTTCTATTCGTTTGGCTTTGTTTTACATGTAAATTGTCCATTAAAGTGATATTTTTTTCACAATTGGTTATAAAATTTGTTTCCATTGTCAAAAAGTAAAAAAAAAAAAAAAAAAGGAAAAAAAATTGTTTCCTAAAAAATCATTTTTTTATCAAAGTTTAGTGTTCGTTTGACTTTGTTTTACATGAAAATTGTCCATTAAAGTGAAATTTTTTTTTACCATTAGTTATGACATTTGTTTCCATTGCCAAAAAAAAAAAATTCTAACCAGCCGGGAAAATATTTTCCCAGCAAAAAGACAGGAAAACATTTTCATCAAAAACCTGGAAATTGCACACGTGTGGGGAAAATCCGGAAAATATTTTTCCGTGGAAAATTTCACTTATCAAACAGCCAAAAAAGTGGAAAGTGGAAAATATTTTCCTATTTCCCCGAAAAATGTGGCCTATCAAATACGGCCTAATATTTTTTATCACATCAATAACTTTTCCTTACTTTTTAACTACATATTTCTCATTATATTACTATTTAAAATACATTTTTTTTTCAATAATATCCATCAAACAAACCATTAATTGAATTTAGGATGTGTTTGATGTATATTATTGAGAAAAAATGTATTTTAAATAATGATATGATGAGAAAATATATGGTTAAAAAGTAATGAAAATTTATTGATGTGAAAAATATTATTTTATTGAAAAATGTGTGGTTGAAAATGAATTTTGAAAGAATGTATTTTGAAAAGATGTGTGTCAAACATGGGCTTATTATTTATATGAGATTAATTGAATATTATAATTAGGGGTGGGCATGGGTTGGGTTAGGTCGATTTTTGCCTCAACTCAAACATAACCCAATATGATCGGTTTGATCAAAATTTAACTCAATCCAACCCGTGCAAATGTTGAAACTCAACTCAACCCAACCCAATCAAGTATTGGTCCGGTTGGGTTGGGTTGGTCGGTTTGAGACGACTTATCAACAAAAATTAAAGTAATCCAATTTTCTATTATACAAATTCGAATAGATAAGATTAAATAGTAAGTAAATAAATAAATAAAATTATCTATTATCTTATTCTATCCACATTAGTCGAGCCTACAAAGAAGAAAGTGCATTTAACATAACATGAAAACAAACATATGAAGAACAAAGTACATTTAAAAGAACATGAAAAACTTATACTACATTTCTTATGGAAAGAACAGTAAGCTCCTCCTCTAAAATATATCAAGGTAATTACAGTTACATTATTTACTCATACTTTTTAGGTTTCTTTTACTTTTCTAGGCATTTTATTTCTTTTATTTATTTTTTCTTTTTTTTATAAGTGGCGGGTTGGGTTGAGAGGATTTATTCAGTTTTCTTGAGTTAACCCACAACCCGACTCAACTCAACCCGCCTACACACCCAACCCGTGTAAAAACAACAAAAAAATCGACCCAATCCGGTAGGGTTGGTTCATTTGGGCGGGTTCGGTCGAGTTTTGTCCACCCCTAATTATAAGTAATTTGAAATAAATTTTTTACTGTTTTTTTCTTTTTATCTATATTTTCCTTGGTCCTCTCTTGTTGAACATTTGAACTTTGGTTCGACGTGTACTTTCAATTTAAAATCGAATATCTCAAATCTAATATCGGATATTTCAAATTCTTTGATCACAATCCTATTGAATTCTTGAAACATACTTGAATTATTTCTCAAGAGGATCAAATCATAAATATACAAGTAAGCTATCAACATTTCTACATTTTTGTTCACCTTGGCATAGAGAGCATGTTCTTTTGGGCACATTTGAAATCATTATCTTGAAAAATACATGTCAATTCGACTATACTATGTTCTCGGTTTTGTTTTAATTCATATAAAGCATTTTTCAATTTTAGGACTTTATTTTTTTCCCTTCACATTATAGCTAATTGGTTTTTCAATGTAAAACTCTTCATCAAAATATCCATTTTAGAAAAACGGATTTCATATCCATTTGATAGACTTTCCATTTATTTTGAGCGGTCAAAGAAACAATCAATCTTATAGTTTCTAAACGAGCAAAGCGAGCAAATATCTCATCATAGTCAATGTTGGGTCTCTAATTGTATTATTTTTAAACAAACTTGTTTTTTTTATTTTCAACTTCTCATTTAGCATTGTTCTTTGCTTTTTACACCCATTTCACTCCAATTGCCTTTTGGAAGTGTTGCTAACTCCCATGCATCATTCTTCAAGACTGCTTTGATTTCTTCATCCATGGTTTCTCGTCATTCTGTGCTTTGCACCACTTCTTCGGAACTTATGGGCTCACAATCCGCAAGGAGACAAAAGAGTGTTAGTTCATTTTAATTTTCGATTACCTCGTCTAGTTCTTGTAAGCTCTTTGTCTATGGTATCCATGAGAGCTTGTTTGTGGTGAATGAGGTGGAGTTGTATCCTTTTGTATTTCTTCTCTTACTTACTCTACTTTCCCTGTTCTTCCTCGAAAATAGGAGAAAAATCAGTCATCTTCTAGAGTGTTTCACCTCCATGAATCTTCTTTAAATTCAGCATCTCTACTAGTGATGACCTTTTTGGTGATTGGATTGTAGAGCTTGTATCCTTTAGATTTTGAATCATAACTAATGAAGAGGATTTTTTTCACTTTTATAATGATCTCCTTTGTTCTGGCACATGAGCATAGGCAGTGCTTCCAAAGACTTTTAAGTGTAGGATGTCGAGCTTTCTCTAACTCCATCTTTTTAAGGTGTCATTCCTCACACACTTCTAGTTGGAGATCGATTAAGCAAATAAACTTCGCAGTCTACCAGTTCGGCCCCAATATTCTTTTGGCAACCTATTACTTTTTAACATGCTTCGGGCCATGTTGAGAATTGTTGGATTTTTCCTTTCAACACCTTCTGTTTGATGGAATCTTAGAATTGTTAGAGGTCGACGAATTCTATTATCTTCACAAAATTTGTCAAATTTTCTTGATGTAAATTTTCCTCGTAGATCTAATTTCATAGCTTTAATTTTGAGGTCTCCTTTTCATCTAGTGATTTAAATTTCTTGAAAACATCAAACACCTCCGAATTTTTCCTTCGGAAAATAAAACCATATTTTTTTTTTTACTAAAATCATCAACAAATAAGAGGAATTAATTGCTCTTGCTGATGGAGCTATAATGGATTGACCAATACACATCGATATAAATGAATTCTAGTGGTTTCTTTTCTCTTGTTCTTGTTTATTGCGGAAGCTCTTTCGAGAATGCTTCCCAAGTAGGCATCGGTCATAAAATTGATTCGGATGATTGATGAATGGCAATTCACTCATCATTCTCTCTTTGGATAGCAACTCTAAAATATTAAGCACATGTTTGAGCCCCATTTTTTTTTTTAAAGATTGCATTTTAAAATAGTAGATTGATGGAAAATGCGTTGTTAAAAAATAAAGAAAAGTTTTGGATTTACGTGTAATATAATTTTATTAAAAAATGTATTGTTAAAAAGAAAGGAGAAAAATGTATTTTAAAAATAATGGGAATCAAACAAATGCTAAGATTGAGATGTCTAAACTTTAGGTGCCATAGCCATGATGTCCTCAAGCATTTTGTGACAACATTTTGAATATCCAACAAGAGCATTCTATTGTTTGTCATTGGTAACTTAGCAATCAAACTACTTTTGTAGTCTCTTACTAAAAGATTTTTTTTCATGTGAATGTCATAGCCTTTTCTAAGAGTTTACCCCCAAGCACAAAATATTATTCTTCATAGGCACATAAACATTTGAAAGAAATTGGTGGTTTCCTATCTGCATATTAGGATATCGCCTTTGTTACTTATTGAAATTTTAAATTAATCTCCACATGTCACGTTGCCACTTACTGATTCATCAAGTTCCACGAACATTTGTTTTTTTCTACACGTTATTGCTAGCATCGGTGTCAATGTACCAAGTGTGGACTTTCATTCATGCTCTTCTTTTGCATGCCAATAGCAAATTGAAGTCATGTTCCTTCTCCTTTTTTTTAATGCAAAATTTAATTCTTCTTCAACTTGATTAGCTCTACATTTCTAAGCATAATCTCCAATTTTTTTACAACTGTAGCATTGTAATTGAATTATGAAAAATGTTATGTGTACACCTCATGATCGTGTGGGCCCCCTCCATGTGAGGGGTGTAAAGCCGTGTGTACACCATTATGTACACGTAACATCTCCCTTGAATTATTACCTCTTCTACGGCCTTTTTTTGAGATAAATTAATTTGGTCTACTTTCTTCACAGTTGGTTGGATATCTTATATTCTCCTCTTCCTTAGCCAGAGTCACGACCATGACCGCGCCATTTTCCTCTTTCATTGTTTAAGTCACCTCCATTGTTTTCATTCAACATGACCGGTGTTTTAAGTGCTTGCACCAAAGTAATTTGCTTCTTCTGCGTTTCTTCGTACGCTTGAAAAGACACTATAAGTAATATGTCTTCAATGGTGATTACAGTATGCTCA